ATGTTTTATGTCAATACATGTAAACACTAACATATCATTATTATGTTAACTATCAGCAGAAATATAACTTATGTATACCTATAATGTTATAATGTCTTGATACTAAAATATGCAAAATTTGTTTAATTAAACAAATTCTTATTCAACTGTCATATAAATTATCTATGAACATAAACATCCGATAGTATATAAACTTATTAAAATATGGCTGTCTGTGTGAAAGGAGCATATTGGGCATCGAGAGCGGGTATATATCCCTCAGGTATAGCTGAGACTTGTTATATATCCCTCATTGGGTATAGCTGAGACTTGTATAATCCCTCAGGTATAGCTGAGACTTGTATATATCTCTCAGGTATAGCTGAGACTTGTATTATATCCCTCAGGTATAGCTGAGACTTGTATATATCCCTCATGATATAGCTGAGACTTGTATATATCCCTCAGGTATAGCTGAGACTTGTATATATCCCTCAGGTATAGCTGAGACTTGTATATATCCCTCAGGTAAAGCTGAGACTTGTATATATCTCTCAGGTATAGCTGAGACTTGTATATATCCCTCAGGTATAGCTGAGACTTGTATATATCCCTCAGGTATAGCTGAGACTTGTATATATCCCTCAGGTATAGCTGAGACTTGTATATATCCCTCAGGTATAGCTGAGACTTGTATATATCCCTCAGGTAAAGCTGAGACTTGTATATATCTCTCAGGTATAGCTGAGACTTGTATATATCCCTCAGGTATAGCTGAGACTTGTATATAATCCCTCAGGTATAGCTGAGACTTGTATATATCCCTCAGGTATAGCTGAGACTTGTATATATCCCTCAGGTATAGCTGAGACTTGTATATATCCCTGATGGTAACTGAGAACGGACTTATGCCGAGAAATGGAATACATCCCCCATTGGGTGTATTCAAGAACGAACATATATCCCAAAGGGGCAGCCAAAAGCAGGTATATTTTCCTGTGGTGTAGCTGAGAACAGGTATTTATTCTAAGGGGGAGTTGTGAATTGCTATATATCCCCGAGGTGTAGCCGACAACTGGTATATATCCCAAAGGGACAGCCAAAAGCAGGTATATGTCCCTGTGGTGTAGCTGAGAACAGGTATATATTCTAAGGGCGACCTGTGAACTGGTAATATTATATCTCTGAGGTGTAGCCGACAACTGGTATATATCCCTAAGAGGGAAGCCAATAACTGGTACATATCAACCAAGGGGCAGATAACTGGTATATATATATATATATATCCGGGGGGCAGCTAAGAACTGGTGAATATTACCAAAGGGGAGGTGGAAACTGGTATAATATTACCAAAGAGGAGGTGGAAACTGGTATATATCCACCCCGAGGTGTAACCGAGAGGCAAAAAAGCCAGTTGAAGAGTCAATAAGCACTAACATCTGACAGCCATGTATTAATTTTTAAACCTTTCAATCGTACATTTCTAAATGAGGATATGTATGGAAAGGCATCATGAAATCATTATTTTCATCTAATGGTGGTATAAACTTGTCTTAATTTACAATTAAATGTTATTAACTGTCTATGTATTTAGAGTATATTACAAGTACATCTAAATTTACAGCAAGGCATACATATACTTGCCTTGTGTTTAAATTTATCATTCTAACATAAACAACAAAAGAGTTCACTTAAAGGAGCTCCACTGAGGTCCAAAAGCCAAACAATAAAGAATAAAAATAGAAAATCCAAAACAGATTAATCGAGGTATTCAATACAGAAAACAAGAGCCACCGCCGGGCGGTGGCAACGCTCCACTTTTTACTTTCTCTAAAAGCAAACAAAAAAAATGTTTGAACAAAACTATTAACGTTTCCTTTTTATAAAATTAATCATTCTGTCTTGTCACATTAGTTTTGTCTATATATTTTTTATCTTTAAATTTACTAATTTATATATATATAAATAGAGACACGCAATTCTGTAAATAGAAAATTCTATCAATAGAAACACACACAATTCTATAAATAGAAAATTCTATAAAAGATACACGTGGTGGAGTCACGTGGTGGAGATACGTGGTGGAGACACGTGGTGAAGTCAAGTCACGTGGTGAAGTTACGTGGTGGAGTCACGTGGTGGAGTCATGTGGTGGAGTCACATGGTGGTGTCACCTGGTGGTGTCACGTGGAAGTCACGTGGTGGTAGTCACGTGGTGGTAGTAACGTGGTGGAGACACGTGGTAGAAACACGTGGTGGAGTCACATGGTGGAGTCAAGTTGTGGAGTCACGTGGTGGAGTCACGTGGTGGAGACACATGTTGGAGACACATGGTGGAGTCACGTGGTGGAGACACGTGGTGGAGTCACGTAGTGGAATCACGTGGTGAAGTCACGTGGTGGAGTCACTTGGTGAAGTCACGATAAACAACAAGGTATTGTCTTTAAGTATGTTCTGTTATAATATTAAGTTGATCCTTCAATAATAGCAAAATAACAGCCAGTTACAGCCAAAACAAAGTCAAGGTCATTAACGAGTGAAGGTCAATGTCTGTCGTGTTATTTTTTAGGGTTATCCTTGAAGATTATTATGTTCAAGTTTGAAGACAATCCATTCAAAAATAACAAAATCACAGCCAATAATAGCCAAAAACATGAAAATTTCAATAATTTGACCTTCAAATTCAAGGTCATTTATGAGCGAAGGTCAAGGTCTGTCAGGTTATTTTTAAGGGATATCCTTGAAAGATTATTATGTTCAAGTTTAAAGACAATCCTTTCATAAATAACAAAGTTACAGCCAATAACAGCATGAACAAGCGAAATTTGGACTTTTAACCTTGAAGGTCAAAGGTCATTGATGAATGAAGGTCAAGGTTAGTGTATTCTACTGAAAGGTCTTGTCCCAAGGGTTGTTGTGGCCAAGTATGAAGACAATACCCCAAGAAATAAAAAGTTATGATCCAGGTACAAGTTTGCCGACGGCAACGCCGCCGCGACTATAACAATACCTCTACTTTTTTTTTTTTCAAAAAAAAAGTCGAGCTAAAAAAATGATACTAAAGAAATATACTCTGAATAAAACTGAAAATCAATATTAATGAAGTATAATTTCAGACGGACTTTAGCTATAAACATTTAAAACACTGTTGACAGGACAGAGTGCTTGACTATCCACAGTGATGGATAATGCAGAATGATCTAACTTCAAAAATGGAAATAAAAGTAACCTAAGTTTGACGCCAATGTGGTAAGTACTATTATAGCATTAGCTATTCATTGAATAGTCGAGCTAAAATGATTACTAGTATTTTGGTAAAAACAAAGTGAGCATAATAATATGAAATTGCATACACATTTTTTACATGAAAAGTAATAGATCTTCTTCAAATAGTATGACACATGAACAACATAACTCCATTAGACGTCCTATCATGTCAAACAATTAATAATAATAAAATCCTCAGTGCAGACCCTTTAACTATACAATTTGAAAAAGTTACTAACTGTATTAGTCTGTACACATAAATCGTTTTGCATAATTATATCATTTCTCACTTTTTTACAATCTCTACAATATAAAACAAGAGCCATGTCAACATGGCCATCCCCCGCCGAATGTGTTTCTTATTGGAAGAATGTATATGTAGTAGAACAAAATAATTCTATTTTTAGAGGTCTTTGGTAATGAAAACTGATGGCTATAGTGATTACAGATTTGAAACCTATGTGAATACTGATGGCTGAAAATAACAAAGGGCAATAACTGAAAAATAATGCACAGGTTAGGTTATCATTCTTTGTGTGCTGCATCCCTCCTCAGTAAAATCTATCCACCTATGAAGTTTCAAGTTGATACCTCTAATACTTTTTGAGAAAAAAATTGAATTGAAAAATTAAGTATGAAAAATAACAAAGGGCAATAACTCAAAAAATATAAAAAGGTTGAGTTATCATTCTTAAACACTGCACTCCTCCTCAATGAGATCCATCCACCTTTGAAGTTTCAAGTTGATACCTCAAATACTTTTTGAGATAAGCTCTGGACAAAATAGCATGAAAAAAAAACAAAGGGCAATAACTCAAAGATTGTATAGGGAAGAGTTATCATTCTTGCGCACAACATTCCTCCTCGATAAGATCAATCCACCTATGACATTTCATGTTGATATCACAAACACTTTTTGAGTTATGCTCCACTCAGGTGAAAAATAAGGTATGAAAAATAACAAAGGGCAATAACTCAAAAATTATGAAAGGTAGAGTTATCATTCATGTGCACTGCACACCTCCTGAGTGAGATCTATGCACCTATGAAGTTTCATGTTAATATCTCATAGGCTTTTGGAGTTATGCTCTGGACAAAAATCAATTTTGAAAAATAACAAAGGGCAATAACTCAAAAATCATGCAAGGTAGAGTTATCATTCTTGTGCACTGCACTCCTCCTCAATGAGGTCTATCCACCTATGAAGTTTCAAGTTGATAACTCAAATACTTTTAGAGATATGCTCCGGACAAATATGTCGGACGGAAGGACGAACGGACGGAAGGACGGAGGGTCGGACGGACGGACAGACGGACAGACGGAGACTATTTCTATATCCTCCGCCGAAAATTTTCGGCGGGGGATAACAATCCAAGAAGGAATCTCTAAAATATAGCATGTAAATTGTCCTCACCTCAATGAAAACAATTATGTATACCATTTACTTTTCCGATGTATCATCTAACAGGTATTCACTGACACATATAATATTTACTATTCTTCTTTATCACATTACACAATATATCATATAACTGGTAATAATATATACTGATCCCCTGTCCTATATATTATATAACTGGTATTTGTATATACCATTCCATTGTCCTATATTTCATATAACTTGTATATACATATACCATTCCATTTGTCCTTTATATCATATTCTGTATTTATAAATACCATTCCCTTGTCCTATATATCATATAACCAGTATTTACATAAACCAATCATTTGTCCTACATATCATATAACTGGTATTAATACATACCATTCACTTTTCCTATATATCATATTACTTTTATGGATATATACCATTCTCTTGACAAATTTATCATATAACCAATATTTACATATACCATTCCCTTATCCTACATTTGTACATACCATATAATTTTTTCCCATTCCCTTGTCCTATATATTTGGTATTTATTTAAACCATTTCATTGTCCGATTTATTATATAACTGGTATTTATTTATACCATTCCATTATCCTATACACCATATAACTGTTATCAATATATATCATTCACCACTTGTCCTATATATCGTGCAACTAGTATTTGTTTATATCATTACATTGTCCAATATATCATATGACAGATATTTATTTATTGCCATACATATTTATATGACTGGTCTTTGCATCTTATCTTTTACTTCTTCTAACTTTTCTGACCATGTAAATTACATTAAACATCTGTTTAATGATATTTCCATTAAATTTACTTATTCATTAATTTATTTACTTGTTTATTTTCAAATCTATTTATGCATTGATAATTAGAACATTACTTTTTTCAAATCATATTTCTTTTCACAAACTATCTTTGATCTTTTAAAAAAAACAGTTATCTATATTTTCTTTATATTTCACTGCATATCTTTCAATTATTTATTTAAATACACATTTGAATATTACTTTCATCAATTTCAATATTACTACAATGATCAGAAATTGATATTTAATGAACTGTTTTTGATGATTGTTATTTATCATACTGTATTACATTCATTATTTAACAGATCAATATGTAACTTTAGTATCATTTTTTTTGCTGATAATGTTTATTTTAATAATTATGTCTTTTATCATAAAATAATTTAGATTAAGCACTATGTTTACTGCATGTATTCTATCTCACTATGTTAAAAAATCAGATCATTTCTTTTTTGTCAAAAATGAAAAAAAAAACATCATCTCTTTTAACATGCAATAATGTAGTTTAAATACTACCTGTATACTTTATCACTTTTTTGTTGAAAATTCAAACCAGTGAGCATCACGTTTAACATGATATAACTGATCCTTATCTTTTACATACTGTTTAGCATCGTTTCCCTTCTCTCCTCTAAGTCCTCCTCCATATATCACTGTAAACCTATAACCTATAAACTCCTCACCATCTCCTGTTATATAACAGATCCTTACACTCACATCTACAGTATGAGGAATGTGAGGAAGACTATCAACAAACTTCTGCCATGTTGTCAAACTCATTGTGACTTCATTAAGCTTAAAGTTCTTTAAACTCTTCATCTCAAAAGGTAACTGTATTATATTGTCAGTTAACCTACAATACCATAACTCAAGCTTACTGAGATTGTGTAACAATGGTAATACTGTGACTAGTCTCTTTGTTATGTTGGTATAATATAATTGAGATTTATTGCCATATTCTCCATACAATTCAAGTTTTTTCAATTTGTCAGATTTTCTAATAATAGCAAATATTTTTTCATAATTACTAGCCTTCAAATTACAAAATGTAAATATTTCAAGGTTTGTAGTATCAGCATCTATCACTCTAACAGTATTATACAAATTAAGGTACCGAAGTTGTTGATGTTTTGATAAATTTACATCATGCTGCTTCATACACTTACATGTAACATCAAAAAGATGTATTTGTTCAAGATGACTGGTTCTCTCAAAAAAAATACAAAATGTAGTAGTATCATCATGACTCATTCTTATAATACTCATTCTTATTGCTACAAGATTGATCATACTAGGTAGGTAACTAAAAACTGTATTATACACTGGATAATACTTGTCAGTGTTAATGTTAAAGTTACAACTAAGAGTCAGAGATTTTAATGTTGAAGTATTTACTTTAAGTGTCCCAGAAACACAATTTTTAATCTCATCAATCATCTGTTCATCACTCTGACTCTCATTGATAATTGATATTGCAATTTTTTCAAGATGATGAAACATTGGTAAATATTTTGTAAATTTAACATTTTTTGTGGTGATGTCATCTACCTTAATAGACAGAACAGAGTCAGGAACAATTTGATGCTGGTCAATACTTGAACAAACAATATCACAATACTGATTCCATTCAGTAATGACCAAATCTCCTATATAAAATACAGGATTACTTCCTATACTACATGCTGCATTTAATTCTTCCATTGACTCAAACATAAGCTTTTGAATATCAGTAATACAACGCTGATCCCTACTAATTACATTAAAAAGGTCACTATTTACTGTTCTCCTGTATTCCTGAACACGAGAGTCTTCTGACACAGTATCATATATGTATTTTGAAACATGTGTTGCTAATCTTAGTTCTAGACCACATAGCATAATGATAACATTTGACTGCTCTAATATGTCATTTACTGTTGAACATTTCTGAAAAACCTCATCAATAAACTTTTTGACTAATTCAACATTTCCTGTACTATCTGACAAACCAATTTTTGCATTGAAATTGATGCCAATATACAATGCAGCCAGAAATTCTTGCATTGATTTGTGAATAAAAGAGAACAATGAGCTTGGTGGTTCTGATACAGATAAACTTGGACATTCATCTTCTGTAATTATTCCAATTTTCAAGCAATTTTCTCTTACTTCATCTGATATATCTAGTTCATCAAACATACAAATGTCAAATGTCAAGGATTTATCCTTCGGACAATTAAATAGTGTCTCATAAGCCAACTTTGACACATGATAAATGAGATGGCTGTTTAATTTTAATATCTTTTTATCAGCTAAGGTTTTAGGAAGATCTACTTTCTGAGCACCCTCCATAAGTCGAGTACATGTTCCTGTAGTTTTCATGTCATTCCATGTAAAGAAAAGTTCTAACATGCCGGTGTAGATGGCACATCTTGAGGTTTTATCAAGTTTACCATCAAACCATAGACAAATCAGTTGCTGCAGCATAATTGGTAGCTGTTTTAAACTTTTCAGGGACTTTTCTTCTAGCTTTTGTAAACAAACCCAGGCATCTTTACTAGCATGCCTGCTTGAATTTAATTGTGAGACTGTTCTATTTACCATTTCACTCTCACATCTCAAATCAAACCCTTTCAGATTCAGTATTTGTTCAATTTCTGTCTCACTTATTCCTAAGGTGTGAACTTTCCATGGCCGTGATGTAGTTACGATTGTGTAGTCTTTATTAACATCTTGTTTTGGGAGACCCATTGTCTGGAACTGATTGTAGGACTTTCTTTCAGAAGACCATTCATCTAAGCCATCAAGCAATATTATAATCTTTGCAGATTCCTTTTTGAGAACTGGGCTTGAAATATCAATATCATACTGATTTTTAATCATATCCAGGACACTGTCTATGTCTTGATTATGTCTTAGGGAGATATAAAACATGATATCGAATTTCTTCATTTCCTTGACTCCTTCAAACTTATCATTTACATTTTGTGCATCACTGTGTGCAATACACCAACAGTTGACCAAATATTTACAGAAACTACTCTTACCAGACCCTGCATCTCCAAGAACATAAATATGTTTCAAAGGCACACCATTCTTTATGAAGATTTCTGACATTGACTTGACCTCAATCTCCTTTGTCTCCCCTTTCTCTCCTTTTATTTCTCTTGTTATAGTGGGCCTAACATAAATCTCACTGAAGTTACATTTCTGACCTCGTGGTAGTAAAGGCATTGCTGGTACTTTTAGCAAAGTCTTACAGTATGATGCTATCATCTCTTTCTGCCATTCTAAAATTATAATATAGTATAACATTAAGCTGTTAACACACTTATTAGTGACTCACAGATATTCAACCATAAAAAAACACAATTACACAATGATGGTAAACTATTACATACCAGACTAATAGTAACCTAGGAGCAGCTTTGTTACCAAAATAAACTATTATAGATAATTAAATAATTAATAAACACATATTACATTTTAATGAGTTCAATGTTTAATAGATTACTATAATGACATTATGAATTAATTACTTAATGAATACTTATTATGACATGTGATAAGCTAGATCGGCCATAGGGGTAAAGATATTCTCACCCAAATTCTACGACATACAATATTATGTAGTTCTCTTTTTCATCAATTTAAATAGAAAACAGTTGAGGTTTAGAAATGTGTCTGAAAGGCACAGATGCCTCTGCTATTTATGTTAGGACACCAAAAAGTATGAATATCGGTGTTATAACAGGACAGCACAGTTTTTATTACATAACCCTATTTGTAATAAAAGACCTATCACTGAAGGTGATTAATACCCCCACCTGCAACTTTGACTTTATGAAAAAAAGTAGTCTGAAGAAAAATTTGAACAAAAACTATTAACTGTGTACAAAGAAATATTTCAATTAATTGTAATCGCAACTGGGGTCTTGAAATAAGCTTGCTATACACCAAGTTTGATTACAATATCTCATTCCTAACTCTACTTATTGTCCGGAAACCATTTTTCTATTTAAAGTAACACTGTAACAGTGACCTTGACCCTAGGGGTCCAAATACAATACCAACCCACAGGTCTTCATATAAGCTTCCTATACACCAAATTAGATTACAATATCTCATTCCTAACTCTACTTATTGTCCGAAAACCATTTTTTCTATTTTTCCTAACGGTGACCTTGACCTGGACCCCAGGGGGCCCAAATGCAATACCAACCAAGGTCTTCATATAAGCTTGCTATACCCCAAGTTTGATAACAATATCTCATTCCTTACTCAAGTAAATGTCCGGAAACCATTTTCTATTTTTAGAAACGGTGACCATGACCTTGACCCCAAGGGGTCCAAATGCAATACCAACCCAGGTCTTCATATAAGCTTGCTATACGCGAAGTTTGATTACAGTATCTCACTCCTAAGTCAAGTTATTGTCTGGAAACCATTTTTCTATTTTTAGTAACGGTGACCTTGACCCCAGGGGGGGGGGGGGGCAAATGCAATACCAACCCAGGTCTTCATATAAGCTTGCTATACGCCAAGTTTCATAACAATATCTTATTCCTAACTCTAGTTAGTGGCAGGAAACCATTTTTCTATTTTTAGTAACGGTGACCTTGACCTTGACCCCAGAGGGTCCAAATGCAGTACCAACCGGACTTTCCACATAAGGTTGCTATATACCAAGTTTGATAACAATACCTCATTCGTAACTCTAGTTATTGTCCGGAAACCATGACGTGGACCGACCAACGTACCGACCGACCGACAAGCTGACTCCTATATACCCCCCTAAACTTCGTTTGTGGGGGTATAATAAAGGCCTTTTCAAGTATAAGGACAGATGGCTGTTGATAAATATTCAAAAGGCATTGGAGCACAAACCTCTCAGTTTATTGTGACCTGGAGCAATAAATATAAGCTCTGTAATATTTAAGATACAATTATTTTGAATGGTTTTTATTTGTTAATTTGATTGGGTTTTATGTCACACCGACAC